TCTCTCTCTCTCTCTCGCCCCCCTGTCCACCGTACTCCGTTTTTCGCCCGACTGACCACGTCTCTCCTCCTCCTCCTCCTCCTGCCGCCGGCTCGCAGACCTACTCCATCACTGGCTATGAGCTCACCGATGAGGACCTGGCCGTGGTCAGTCACCGCCGAGGTGGCTCGGGCTCAGCCGGCGCCAGCAGCGATGCCGACTCGGATGACGAGCCGGACCGCTCGGGCCTGCAGATCAGCTTCACCCTGACGAACACCTCGGTCGGGCAGACTGTTTCCTCGATGGAGCTCTCGGCCGTCAACTCGATGACCGTCTCGGTGGTGGAGTCTTCCAGCTCCGGTGGGCGTTTCACCCCGAGCCGCCTGGCCCCGGGCGCATCGGCCACTCAGACCCTCACCCTCTGCCTGGCGCCTGGGGCTGTGGACGATCTCCCGCAGCAGCTCCGCACCTCGGTCTCCTTCATCGCCACCCCGGCGGACGATGCACCGGAGAATGGTGCCGATCATGGCATGTCTTCCTCCCAGGTGTCTGGCCAGGAGGAGTTCCGTCTGCAGCTCCCGGCCTCGGTCTTCGTCCATGCTGAGCCCATGTCCGAGTGTGCGTTCACCCGCACCCTGCTGATGACCTTTCCTCTTTCCCTCTCCTTCTCTCTCTCTCTCTCTCTCTCTCTCGCTCTTTCTCTTTTTCTCCCCTCCCCTGGAAATGGCCAGGGAGCCCCTCAGCCGCCTGATGGGTTGATCCCTTGCTCTCCTGGATCATCGACGCCTGTGCTGACATCCCTGCCACCTAGTCACCCTCGGCATGATCATGGAGGAGCCGCGCAACTTCGATGCCGCGACCGGCGGCACCGGTGCCCTGGACACCCCGACCCTGTCTGTCCAGCTGCCGACGTCTTTCTTGAAGTCAGCCGTGTCGAGTGGTGTGCGCGCTTTCAGCGCCGCGGCCAATGCCATTGCTTCGTGCGTGCCCCCCCCCCTCCCCCCCCTCCCCCCCCCTCTCTGGCCGATCTCACGGCCGCGTGCTTATGCTCTCGCTCTCTCAATTATCCCGTTCTCCCTCCCTCTGACACCCCCGCGCTTCGTTGCCCTGCCCATGCATGGAATCGCAGCGCCCTCCATCTGAACGTGGTCACTTGCGAGCCGGATGAGGGTCATGCCCTGCTGTACGGCCGGACTCTGGTCCACGGTCGCCACCATGTGGTGGCCATGATCAAGTCCGAGGCTGACGACCCGAGCGAGCTGGCCCTGCGTGTGTCCATCCGCTCTGGCTCGGCGTCCGTGGCTTCGGCCCTGATTGCCGAGCTTGGCGAGCAGCTGCCCACTGCCGACGTGGTCGCCTAAGTCCACGATGCATGTGGCTGCCTCCCCCTGGCTGCCTCCCCCTGGCTGCCTCCCCCTGGCTGCCTCCCCCCCCCCCCCCCCTCGAGGATATCTCCTCTTGATAGACTGCCACGACGAGAAGACCGACCTGCAGAGAGATAGCCAGCCGTCTTTTTGCCTCGTGGTTTGGCTTCTTTCTCTCCCCTGGCGCGTCCCGCGTTGTTCCCGGCTCCCCCCCGGCCCCGGGAGGAGGGTAGGGCTCTTTCCTGTGTTTGTGGCCCCTCTCCACCTCAGGCTGTGTGGTGCTGTCTCTTCCGCTCCCCCCCCCAATACACAGATCGTGTTCCACGGCTGCCCAATCGAGTTAAGGTAAACTCAGCCAAAATATCATTCTCACTTCACATGACCATTCTTCGCTGCGCCTCGTCCTGGACCGGGCGCCGGGTTCGCTTGGTTGTTTTGAATTCGGCTCCCCCTGCCTTTGGTGGCCGCCTGCTCCGAGGCCCTTCTCGCCTGGCTGGCCCTGCTCAGCGAAAGTGGGCTGTTTGGGGCACCGCGCCCATGGAGGACTGTGCTTGAAATGCGTGCGTACATGCGTGTGTGTGTGTGTGTGTGTGTGTGTGTGTGTGTGTGTGTGTGTGTGTGTGTGTGTGTGTAGGAGAGCGGGAGAGAGGGAGAGTGGGGGCGGCGCAAGGCCGGGCAGAAGGTGGGCGGCGGCGTCTGGGCGATCCGCACAGAAGGCGAGGGGTTCCCGGCAGGATGCTTCGCACGCGGGCCCTTGCTCCCGTTCTCCCCCCGGGACACCGCCCCCACACTCTCCCACATGACCTAACCTGTGTATGTTCTGGGCTCACGTCCCGCGCTCGCTGCCGTGCCCTTTGACCCTCAGTTCCGAAGATTGGGACGAGCAGGCTGGGGCGCCTCGGAGGGACGGGGGGGGGGGGCCTCGCCGGGGGGGAGTGGGCGTCGCGCCTCGCAGCACCCTAGATCGGCCAGCGCGATCCTCTCCCCCCCTGCTGCCGCCCTCACACCCACATCTCGGGCCAGTCCCCTCTCCCTCTCCTTTCACCTCAAACACCTTCATCGCGTCTTTCTCCCTCTCCCCACCCCCTTTTCCCTCCTTCTCCTCCCCTACCCCCCCCCCCGCCCCTTCCTGCCGAAGTGCGTGCGTGCGTGTCTGTCCGGCCATGTCCACCTACTACGACAGCACCCTGGCTGCCTACGGCGGCTGGCCGACCGATCGCTTCGACGACGGCCAGGCGGCTGGTACGTCTTGCCCCCTGTTCGCCCGGTGTCCTGCGTCTTCTGGCGTGGCCCTCCTTCGTCCCTTGTCACTGACCTTCCGTCCATTCCCCCCGCCCCCCCTCGGGTAGCCGATGCCATCAATCGCGAGTATGAGGCCCTGCGCAACCACGTGCTGCAACACTCCAACACCCTGGATCGCATTGCCTCCACGCTGGAGAGCTCCCTCGGCCCGGCCACTGTCGGGACCCTGTCGTCGGCCATCTCCGGCAGTGTGGCCAGTGGTCCGACCAGCGGCCCGCCGGGGCTTCTGGCGTCGGCCGGCGGCTGCGGCCCTGTTGCTCCTCTCGGCACCACGTCCACGCCGCCGAAGGAGGCGATCTCCTACTCGCGTCTTATTCGCACCAACGACAAGGTGCGCATACATGCACTTATTCTCCCGGCCTTGTCGTTTGCATCTCTGACTGGTTCCTCTTTCTTTCTTTCTCTCTCTCTCTCTCTCTCCCACTCCTTCTCCCTCTCTCTCTCTCCCACTCTCTCTCCCACTCCTTCTCCCTCTCTCTCTCTCCCTCTCTCTCTCCCACTCTCTCTCCCACTCCTTCTCCCTCTCTCTCTCTCCCACTCCTTCTCCCACTCTTTCTCCCACTCCTTCTCCCTCTCTCTCTCTCCCACTCCTTCTCCCACTCTTTCTCCCACTCCTTCTCCCACTCCTTCTCCCACTCCTTCTCCCTCTCTTTCTCCCACTCTTTACCTTCTTCCTTCTTCCCTTCCCTTCGTCCTCTTTTGTCCCTCTCTTCTTCCTTCACCCCCCAGAACCTGGACAACGTGCTGATTGTCCTGTCCGGCCTCTGTATTGAGGTGGAGCATCTGCGCGAGGAGGTACGGTCTGAGGCAGCGCTTGCCATCCCGCCCCTCCCTCACTCACTGACCCCTCTGCCAACAGGCCGAGACGCGGTTCTTCCCGGCTTTGGCCACCTACGGCGAGCATGTGGCCTATGCGGCGGATTTGGCCAATGCCGCGGCCCCGGCCGCCCCCAATGGCGGCGGTCCCGCCCCTCCGCTGAATCCCGAGCAGCTGGGCGAGGCGCAGCTCCGCCTCGGCCGCTTCCTGCCCCTGCTGCAGGAGGCCTGCACCTATGTCAACCGGCTGTATGACATCATTGTCAACTTCGTCCAGCAGCTGGGTGCCCTGTATGCGCCGAAGTCCGTGCGCGCGGCGCTGGTGGCGCAGCTTCGCCTGGAGACGGTCCCCTTCCAGCCGGTCTTTGACAGTTTGATGGAGGCATTGGCCATCCTCCTGACGTTGGATGCCATTGCCGCGACCAACACCCAGCTCCAGGCCGACTGGCGTTCTTACCGGCAGATGATCATGTTCGTCATGCAGGGGGCCGAGCGCTTTGGCCGGACCGAGAGCCAGCTGGCCCAGGTGGACGGCATGCTGCAGGAAATCGAGGCCCGGCTGCTGGCTGGGTCGGTGTTTTCCGGGCTCTTCAGCTGTCGCTTTGACTTCCATGATTCGCGTGCCGCGGCCACCGCGGTGGCGGCCACCTCCACTTCGTGGTTCTCCTTCGGGTCGTCCTCGTCGTCCACCGCGGAGCCGGTGCTGACCGCGGCCCCGGGCGGCCTGCCGCCAGTGCGCCTGAACACCGGCCTGCGGGATGAGCTCCTGGCCGCGGTCCGGGCACAGGTGGCCTTCCTGCAGGCACGCATCGGCCAGCCGGTGGAGGTCGGCCCTCGCACCGGCCTGATCGGCCTGGCTGGCCTGCTTCGGCTGGCGTCCAGCGTGGTGGACGGCTTCGCGGTGGCCATCACCGGCGACAAGCAGCTCATTCGGGCGGTGTGGGACCTGGGAGCCACATCGCCGCTGGTGCCCTTGATGGGCAATGCGGTGTTCGATTATCTGGGCTTCCTGGCCGGGAAGGCCTTCAAGTCGGATGCCCGGGCTTCGGCCAACTTTGCGCGGTACATCCGCCAAGGCGACCTGAAGACCGTGCCGGCGGACCGGCTCAAGCGCCTGGTGTCCACCGGGCCAGCCACCGCGGCCACCCTGTCGGTGCGCGTGGCCGCCTGGTCGGCGCGCATGGGGTCCGAGCTGATCCTGGAGGCCGGCCCGGCTGGCAGTGGGTCCGGGACCCGGGCCGCTCGGGCTGGGGATTCGGCCGAGGCCCAGCTTCAGAAGGATGCGCTGATTGTGCGCAACCAGATCCTCATCCAGGGTCTGGTGCTGGGTCATGCGATTGACCATCTGGCGCGGGAGCTGCTGCACTTGCACCTGCACACCGGCCGGCAGCTGGCCAGTGCCACGGCCCGGACCATCCTGCGTCTGGTGGAGCTGGCCAAGGCCGTGGAGGGGACTTTCGCCCGGCACCAGGTGTATGTGGCGCGGCTGCTGCCCTCCTTGCACTTTGTCCTGTCCTCCAGTCTGGTGGACTTTGCGGCCAGCTTCACGCGGCGCTTCAGCCAGGACCCGCGCATGCGCACGCAGCTCGAGGCATTGGGGCTGCTGGTGCGTCTGGTCAGCGGGCCGCCCACCACCGACCGGCTGAAGGCGGCCGGCGTGGCCCTGGCCATGATCCGGCCGCATCTGCGTGACCATGAGTACGACTCGGTGGTGCAGCATCTCCGCCAGCTGTCGCTGCTGGGCGGCCTGTCGAATGCGGTGGTTGTGGCCACCCGGTGTGAGTTCATCTACTGGAACCGGACCCTGCTGTCGACGTACATGCGGTGGCTCTGGAGCACGGACGGCACGCCCGGGGCCGGGAGCGATGGGACCCCGGCCGAGTCGTGGGCCCCCTCGCCGGAGGGGCTGCCATTGTTCCTGGCGGCGGCCGGTGATGTGGCCGAGCTGTTGCGCGCGGCCGGCCCGGACGGCCTGGACGCCCTGCGCCAGTATTCGGCGGACATTTATGAGCTGCTGGAGACGGAGGTCATCACCCCGGCCTGTACGGCCATCGATGACGACCTGCGCATCAGTGGCCATCATGATTTGCGTCTGTCCTCGCGGAATCCCTTCAAGCCGGATGCCATGCCGGCTGGCAGTTTCCTGGGCCTGGCGGATTATGGCCTGACGCCGTTGGCCACGGCCGGCACGGCCGGCGCCCCGGGGTCCGGCATCACTGGCGCCACTGGCGGCGCGGAGGTTGTCATGCAGGCCCTCCGGCGCACGCGCGTGTGTCTCGGCCTTTGCCAGATGGCTCCGCTGATGTCGGTCGATGGGGCCGCTTCGGTGGATCTGCGTGGTGCGTGTGCCACACCTTCGGTGTTGGTGTTGCTGTTGCTGTTTCAGCGTCGTCCGTCGGGCGGAGCACTGCCACACCTGGTCCCCATGCCTGGCTCCCTCTCTCTCTCTCTCTCTCTCTCTCTCTCTCTCTCTCCCTCTCTCTCCCTCTCCCTCTCTCTCCCTCTCTTTCTCTCGTTCCCCTTTTCGCCAAACTCACATCCCATTTCCTCTCACTCCCATCGCCACGCGGCACAGCCTTTATCACCCAGTACCTGGACAACTTGTATTACCACCAGACCGCGCTGGCGCCACACAACTGGACGCGCTATGAGCGCATGAAGATCCTGGCTCGCGAGCGCTACGGCCTGGTCCTGTCGGATGCGCGCCTTCCCCCGGGCACTCAGGAGCAGGTATGTGCTGGGTCCCCCTTCCTCGCTGTTCCAGGCTTTCCCGCGCACTTGCCCATCGTTGCTCGCCTCACGGCGCTTCTCACATGCCGCTGGTTTCCACCACCTCGCCGTGGTTCCCCCCGGGGTGCAGATGTTCGACGCGCTGGAGATCATGCGCAACATCCATGTCTTCATGTCGCGCTATCGGTACAACATGCATCAGCAGTTCTTCATCGAGTCCTCCTCCTCCAGCAAGTATCTGCACACGATCCACATCCGCCATGTGGCCAACTCCATCCGGACCCACGGGTCCGGCATGATGAATACCGCCGTCAATGTGACATACCAGTTCCTGCGTCGGGAGTTCCGCCTCTTCAGCGAGTTCCTGTACGATGATCACATCAAGTCGCGCCTGGTCCGGGAGGCGCGTTTTGTGACGGAGCAGCGCGAGGCGGCCCTCGGTGGTGCTCCCTCCGGGCATTCGATGGCCCTGGCCGGGGACTTCTCCGGCTACAAGGCCGGCGCTCGTCCCAACCGCGGCGGGACGCCCCCTTCGCGGGCGCAGTTTTCCTATCCCTTCGAGCGGGCCGAGGAGCTGAACCGCTGGTCGCGCAGTCTCGGTGTTCGTGACAAGACCGGCACCCAGTATCTGGATGAGTTCCGCCGCGTGGTCACCGTCATGGGCAATGCCCTGGGCTACGTGCGTCTGGTGCGCTCGGGTGGTCTGCACCATGCCAGTCGCGTGGTTGCCCATGTGCCGGAGATCACCCAGATGACGGGCACCTTTGGCGAGGGTGTCACCCGCGATGGGATCGGCTCTACCAGCAGCTCCGGCACCAGTGTGTCATCGGCGGCCTCGTACGTGAGCGGCGGCGTGCTGCCGTCGGGGGTTTCACATTGTGTCGACTGTCCTCCTCCTCCTCTCCTGACCTTGTTTTGTCCCTGTCCCCCCGCTCCTGTCCTTTGTCGCCTTTCCCTCTGGCGGTTGCCCTTGTCATCCACCCCGTCGCATTCTCGCTCTCTCTCGTTCTCTCTCGTTCTCTCTCGTTCTCTCTCGTTCTCTCTTTCTCTCTCTCGTTCTCTCTTTCTCTCT